TTATTATTATTATTATTATTATTATTATTATTATTATTATTATTATTATTATCATTAAAGTAACTGTGATTGCTATTAGCATTACCATTATTATGAATCGTGTAGAATATTAATTCGATAATAATTTTCTTATTTATTTGTAAATATTTTTTCAGATTAACCGTGAGTGAAATTAGTTCTTTTCTCAATTCCCTTTTAAATAGTAAATTAATATAATTGTCAAGAACAAGAGTAGTATGTGGATAAGGAATTATTTAAAAAATCAAATGCAAAAACTGTGGCATAATTTATTCAATTAAACAACGATAAATCTGTAGTTGCTATTTTACTTTCTCAAATGTAATCATGCGTTACGAAAATGCCACTTTATCACTTCATTAATTGCTGTATCACTTGTACATGCTATATAACAAATGTAAAATACATTTAACAACTATGAAAATTATTGAAATATTTACAGAATATGTCCTTACAATAATAACGTAGCTCTCTTACCTGGAATTTCGCTATTGTGAGTGCAAAATCGTACAAACTCAAAGAAAAATAGATTATATGCGGTGATGTGTAATTATGCTGAATCTCTCGAGAGTTGAACGATCGCCTATAGTAATAATGATTAGATATTGGCCAATAGTCTGATAGCCGGTGATAAATGATCGGGTATATCGATAATGAGATCCATTGTATTACACGTTGGGGGATTATACTGGATGTATCTCGTTTTAAACAGAGATTTGCCTAGACCATATAAATCATTGGATGCATCGATTTGTGATGTGTGAAAACTAAAAATATCATTTATCATATGAAAACAATGGGAATTGATGAATAAAAAGTGATAAATGAGATCTTTTTTACATCTAATGATCGCACATAGGCAGAAGGGTCATTAGTGAATTCTATTTTTTTTTTAATGAATTGTTAATTTTCTGTTCTTCTGAAGTACGAATGATTCATCTGAATCTTAATATAACATAAAATTTCAACAACAATAAGACACTGTGATTCGATATACGATCGAATAATGGTTAAACTGAAATACAAAAAAAAAAATAAAGAAAAGTAGTAAATTAAAACAGTGAATCAATACTTCTGATTAAAGAATAATAATTCTTTCATTTCTTTATTTATTTATTTTCTCTAATTTGTTGTCAACTTATTTTACTGAATGTTGTGGTTTATAAATTGTTTTTCAGTAAACAATATTCATGAAAAAACGAAAAATATATTAGTAGTTTAAATATTGCCTTACAGAAGTAAATTTATGAATAAAAAGTAACTATTGCAATAACACACTTTATTAATAAACACAAATAGCAGATATATTATATTCCACTTATAATGTTTCAAATAAATAATTTTCATACGAATATTAATTTATGCAACAAAATATATCTATCACATTTATAATTAACGAAATCTATAATAGAATATAGAAATAATAAATAATATGTTTAATAATTAACATGATATCCTTTTAAATTTTTATATATCACTAGAATTACCATACTTTTTTAATAAAACATACTATTATCGAAATGTTTATCGAATAATAAGTAAACATTGAAGAATATCACAAGCTTATTTTGAGGTTTTTAATTGTAATATTATGAAAATCAAACTCAAAATCATATTTAAATTTCGAAAATTGATTTTTTTTTTAATTTTTAAATATTTGATAATTTTAACAAGAAGAGACTTGTTACAAAAAGCTTTTGTAAAGTCCAATAATAATAAATGTACGAGCACATTTATAAGAATTTTAAGGTATTTGTTACCCATAAAAATACAATGTATATTCTTCTTTCACTTATATAATTAATATATCAAAATTTTAATTACATTGATTGAATTGATTTGGATTTGTTGTCGTTAAGATATGGACAGGCTATTTTAATATATGTAATTTAATTATAGATACGAATGATAATGTATTAGATAATATTTAAATGTGAGAAAGGAAGAAAATGTGAATTGTATTTAACTTTTGTTAATAATTTTTTTTTATATTTGTAACAGATTTCTTATATATTTAGGTATTAAGAATAAAAAGGAATATTACGAATCATAAAAAATTACTAGTCATGATATTACTAGTTTTATAATATTACTAGTCATAAAAATTATTTACTTATTTTAGATTTTTTTAATTACAATGAAAAATACAATATTTTGTTAATCTTACATTCCAGCATGATACATATAGCTAGAAAATATGTTATTTATCAAAATGATTTAATAAAAATATAATTATATATTTAATTTTTATAATCTTATGTCAACGGTGTTTTAATATTTTCGTATAATCTATTATTTTAATGATTGAATAGATCACGGAGACTTCTTTGGTATCAAACATTTATTAAATTTTGGATATTTATCTTACCAAATTATAATTTTCGAATAACATTTCATTTATTAGTTTTATCAGTTTAATCTTTTTTAATTACTTAAAAAATGCTTGTAGAATGAATCATCACGCATTGAAATTATAATTCTTGTTCTTAAGTATTTTAATAAACCAAAGCAATTATTTTTATTCTTCTTATCTTATTCAATATGAGCTTAATGTATTTTTGATATTTTTGCTTTATAAGCTAAAATATGATGCAATAGGCTTATAATTATATTACAAATGAAAGTATATCATTAATAATACATATTTTACAGTCTATATAAATTTACACCGATGATTTTAAAAATCAGTTTGACGAAGACAACAAAATGTGTTCTAATTGCAAAAAATGTAATTTAATTAACTTTTTTTTATATATTTATCATACGTTTCATAATATTTTATTGTACAACGATAGGAAATACAAATATATGAAATATTTTCAATATATATATAATACATAATAAAGAATGATTCTAATGTATCCTAAAGAAATTATATACAAATGTGTATTTTTGTACTTGTTCAACGTGAAATAAAATTACTCATCGTCACTGTTTTACTCTGTGTATTGTAAAATAAATAAACGCTGATATTTATAATAATATAATAATCATCTACGTACAAGAGAGAAACATTTTATTATATATAAGTTTTCATTAATCTAGGAAAATTCTGCAACTTTTCAATAGATAATTATCAAAAGCGTTCTCACGTAATGCAGAGTTTCACTACATCACTCCGTTTTGACTGTGTTAATATTATTGTCTTTATAAGAATAAAAATTATTAATTAACAAAAAATATTTAATATATGAATAAAATAATTAAAACAAATACTCTATTTTTAATTTTTTTTTAATTATCGTATTAGTTAAAGTTAAAGATTTTTCAGTCAAATATATGGATTAATGAAATGTATGGATCTTAATGAAGACTTAATATTACAAAAGCAACAAATTCATTTATTATAATCAAAAATAAATTGAGCGCATTTTAACTACTCAAAGTAATATAATCAGTTATATTAAATTAATTAATTATAATTATCTAAAATAAATGAAAATCCATAATATATTATATATATATCAACACTGGTTGGCGTACAGCCATAATGCTATATGTATACACAGTATTTAAAAAATTTTTTAAAATATCACCCAATATATTTCATGTTTTCAAATTTTTCAACTAATATTAGTAAATATTAGTAAAAATTATCAGCGCGTTTAAACCATCTATTTCTTTGTATATTTACTCAGAACAATCTTAATTTGTATTGGAGCATTATTCATATACTAAATATTTGTATTACCTTCATTTGATTTTGTTTTTTTATTCGAATTGTTTTCAATTATACTTCAATGTTACATAAATTGTCTAAATTTATTATCACATCTTCTTACCGTGTTGTCTCAAAGTTATTTTTAGTAAATAATGTTTCTCATTTATACCATTAATATTATAATTAAATCCATTGAAGTTCTCGATTCTTTAATTATTTAATATTAAGTCATTCTTAATAGGCATTTTTTTGAATATTCTTTTATAAAATATATTTTCGTTTATTTATTTTTTATTAAAATTGAATAATTGACTTATTATATAACTTTTATGAAGATAGGGAAAATGTATGTCGAGTTTTGCTTACTTAAATTTTAATGAAGAAAACAATGAATTTTTTAGTAACTGAATCATTTAATAAAAATAACGTATAAAGTAAATTATCAGACGTATAATAATTTTTATTCCTATTGTTTTAAAAATATAATGTCGACAATCCTGTCGTCTTATTATTATACAAATAGCAATATTAAACTATATAATGTAAAGTATCTTTAAATAATTGTTTACTCGAAAAGTGTCTGCGCCTTTGTCGACGAACACCTATCTCTCATTGATTTTTTAATCGATAAATGCATTCAATCACAATTAGATTATCCAGGCATATATACTACAAAGTATATCGAATCTCGCGTCACTAATTTATTGACTTAAAACATTAACAACGGTCAATAACGTTTGCCGACGTCTTTATCGGCTGTGCAGCAAATTATTAAATGGATTTTAAATCAATTATTCAAAAAAAGAAGAGCTTACAAAACACAAAACCAAGGAACGAAATTAGGCAAAATATTATCGGACAACCTAACCTGATAAACTGACCGGTTGATCTTGCGCCCTGGCGGATTATTTAAATACGTCACGAAGACATAACCTTGTTTTTGTATTTACAGCCAAGAAAGTGATACATCTAGCGTTGGTATATAAATTAAGTTTATTTTTTACCTTTTTTTTTCAAATATTTGTGTTTTAATGATTTCGAGAAAACGCGATGCTCACCGACAACCAGAGCAACACCGACCGAATACTCAACTTAAAGACGGTGAGCTAAAAGATGCAAAAAATTGAGAGTAAAAATATAGTATTCATGTACTGTATTTCTTATACCTGCAGTAATCATCGATTTTGCAATTTCGGTCACTGCTACCGTTATAACTTGTATAAGAAATTAATTAATCAATATTGTCGTTATTTTGAATGAACATAGCCAATCATAAATAAGTGTAACGAATTTTATATTCAGTTTAATCAAATATTATAAACATTTTATAAATCAAATGCTTTAAAGTTATAGAATCGTTTATTTCAATTTAAGTTTAACAAATTTGCTAACAGGAACATATTTAAACATATTGAAACTCGATTACACAGATTGAGATTTGTTATTATTTTTAATGGTAAAAAATTCTATGATCTTTAGGAGAATACGTCCAATGCAAATCCAGTAAAGAAGCTAAAGATCCAAGAGACAAGATATCAATGCATAGTCTGCCAGACTAATAAAATCTCTTTGAGTGAACTTCATTGGCATCAAACCTATCAACACTCAACGGAAGAACTTTCGTTATCGGTGATAGGCTGGAAAGGTCTGGTAAAAATTGTTGGGCCACCTACACCCCAAGAGAAAGAGAACTCTCAAGAACGGTCTATTTGGAGTAGTTTTTCGAAAAAACCGTCGCAATTTTATTATTTATCCAGCAGTATTTTGCGCGTTAAAGAAAATCAAAAAGGAAATTCTGAAGCGCCTATCGACTGTAGTTTACCTGTTCTAAAAGTGGAGAAGGATATTGAAAGTTTAAATCAAGCGAAAGAAAAGATACCAATAGTTTCTATAGTGAAACAGGATTCAAGTGTAAACAAAAAGTTACAGAAGGAGTTAAATACTATAAAGGAAATTAGTATGGAAGACTTTGTCAAATGTACAAATGAATTATGTAGCGAGCTTGCAGAATATAAAAGAATACGTGTCTCAAAGAAATCTGGAAGAAAGAAACATGTATTATGAAATATTAGATTATCGTTTATACATATTTTGTTTTAAAGAAGCCATCAGTAACAAATATTTTTACAATAAATTTTAAACTTCTCATTAATTTACGTAAATGTTTTTAAAAGAAAAGTCCATATGATTACCACGAATTAATTATAACATTGATTGTAACATTTATTTACATTCTATTACTGAGGTTTTCTTTTAAAAATATTGTATTCTATTTTGTATAATAATTATAGTTTATTTTTTTATAATTTTATGTATCTCAAATTATATATTGATGACAAATTGTTTGATATAAATTTTAACAATGTTAAATATGTAAGGTATTATATAACAATAAGAAGTAAATTTTTTTTATAAACATAGTTTTATATTAATTTCTATTACAAAAATTTTAACCTAAATAACAAAAGTCCATATTTTGTACCACGGTAAGAATGGTTAGTCACATTTTCTTTCATATTTATTTTAAAACTAATTTAAGAACTTTTAGTTCTAACAATTTCTAAACTTGAAAAGCTAATATTTATTCCAATTAGTCTTTAACATATATTATATTTTATCTTTATAATTTATTGTAATTATATGATTCTAATCAGTTATGAAATTGTACTACAATATACTATCGCTAAGTCTTTATAAAATATAAAAGAAAATAATGAATATTTATTATATAAACTCAGCATTTAGCAATGTAGTAATAAGTACAAAATTATATAAAATCTAATAATAAAATATAAGCTAATGTATAGTAACATACAAATATTTATTTATTTACAATCTAAATAAATAAATACTAAAAAGTTGATCATAATGTAAGTTTTAGATTTAAGCTTGATTTGTTATATTTACTTTATAGCGTTAAACTAATTTGTATATAAATTTGAAAGAGTATTAAAAAGAAAAGTTTAATTTATACACAATGTAAAAGTATAATTTATGGAAAAATTAATATTAATTATTGAACGGACTGATATTGTCGCAAAAATAAATTTTTATTTATGCTTGTAAGCAAGGGTTAAAATAAAAATTAAATATATTATTCTAAATTACATAAGAAATTGGACAATACTAATTATTCTTATTTACATTTATAAATCGTATATATATATATGTATATATATATATTACTTATGTAAATATATTACATTTATACAAATAATAAATAAAAAATTTAAATATATTTCACGTATAACAATTTAAAATTAAATAAATTATACAATTTGTTCTTACATATGCAAACACATTAAAAAATAATTTCAATTTTTTCACAAAATTCAGTTTTTAAAGAAATTTACGTATGTATTATCAAAATATTTATAAAGTAAAATTCTATGTTTGTTCCATATTTTATGAATGTTTTTATGATAATTTTAAAATTTAATGAATTTTTTTGTGATATAAATAAAGATATTTTGAAAATTTACTACTTTAAGAATTATTATCCTAGTGCGAAAGAAAAACAGTCATTTCACGGTAATGAATTTTTGTTGCTGATTCTTACGATAATTAGGGTATAGCTACTACATTTAGAAAGATATATTAATTCCATTGGTGAATGATCAAAACACAAACTTTAAAAATAATAAGAGATAATAAATACTCTATGAAATACTTTATTAATTATGCCAAAAAGTACCCTACTTCTTTTTCGTATTTTTTACAAAATTCATAACAAATTTAACATTTCTTTTTGTTTCAAATCAACGGCTTGCTAATAAACGGACAAATTATCTCAGTTCACATGGCAATTCATCTCGAATCTGTTTATCACATTACTAACACGAAGAATCATCACTACTCATTATGTATTTTACATTATTATTTATACTATTGTTTATATCATACACGCTGAATATGGTTCACATTTCGTGTTTATATGGAGCTAAACTACATATTTAATATTTCAATCCCAATAGACCCACAAATAACAACAAAAGCCACAATTATTTTCTGTTCATAATTAAATTATAAAAAGTTTTATTTATTTAATGAAATCAAAAGCTTACACTTATAATTCTATTATAAAATATATACGACGACGCCCAAGATAGTTCAATAAAAAAGATATAACTTTTATTATTCTTACAGACAACACAGAATCGCAGACTGAACAAGTAAAGATAATTTTTATGGATATCCGTATATTGCACATTTTTAATTTTCTGTTCCAAGATTCAATCCCATTTTGTATCTTCGTGATATCATTCAATTTGCTTTATATATTTATTTAACGATTTCTTTACCGATAAATAGACGACGACCTGTCCGATCTGGCAAATCAATGAAAATCAAGGTAATTGAAATCTAACGAGAACATTAGACTTTTAATAACAATCCATAATATTGACGTCCTTTCTATCGTTAACGATAAGGATATCATCGAGGACGGAATCGAAGCTGCTTGTGTAATTCTGCAGCCACTCGCTGCGCTCTTTAATGTAGCTCTCGAAATCAAAATTGAAGATCGTCTTGAGAAAGTCGGCTCTCTTCACCGTCTCGATGTACTCGAATGTTTGGTGGCTCGTGTAATCGCCATAATTATCGTCCATTTTCATGGAGTTTCGGTAAATCGAGGCAAGAAGATTCGCATCGCTCGCGTCCACGATCTCCTCGATTACATTGAAGGCGGCACTCGATCGCGAAGCATCACGGCCATTTCCGGAGTCCGTATCTATTTCCTTCTCGCATTGCATATCGTTGATGGTACAGTTTTGCGACAAGTCTACCTCCACAGTTGTCTCGTGAATTTTGTACTTGACGAGGAGTCGACGTAACTCGGAAATTATGTTGGCCGATGTTTTCGACACTTCCAAATCGCTTTCGTCGTTCAGGGCCACTAGTAACACCTGCATCGTAATAAAAAGTGGTAATTACGTTTTTACATAACAGAAAAGAGAAGTGGCTTTTGCATTAATGATAAGATCTTTTAAGATGGTAAAAGCAGCGAAAAAATTTACCCCAAGACAGCGTTGTCTGGCCAATTCATCAAGAGTCTTATTGAGTCTGTGCTTAATTTCAGTCTCGTCAAGTGACATAATTTTCCTATGCTCTTTGGAGAAAGTGACGGTTGGAAAATGACCATCGAGCATGCCTTGATCAGTCAAATGAGATTTTATGAAGTGCCTCCAAAATTCCAATGCATTGATCTTCACTTCCCAGTGTAAATCTAAAACGGCAGCGACGGTCATTGCTTGACTCATTGAATTTACCATTTGTCTCCTGTACGAAATGAAAAAATTAATATACACCACAGAACTTTTTATTACTGCTTTTGTTTTTTATCAAATATATGCTTTTCATTTTCCACTCACTGCCACTTTCTGTAAACGTACAGCTCCTTTATTAAAATCACAGCTTCTCTTCTAACGATAGCCTCATTCTCCGTGTAAACTAACTTCATGGCTAAATCCTAAAATAAATTTTCAATTCGTAAATTTCATCGCACGTCTATTCGGTTAGAAAAATAGTTGTTTAAGTGTTTTTAAATTGTACCAATAAATTTAATTGACTCAGCAGCTTATCCCAAAGTGAATTAATTCGCACAGCCGTAGAAATAAAAGTCAACGCGGAAGCTCGTACGTAACTTTCACTGTCGTTCTTTGCAATATCAACTGCCACTTGTAGAAAATGATTTTCGAGCAAGAAATTTTGGTACGGAGGATATTCTAAAGAACGATTAAGGCCATTATCAGATGATGAAGAGACGATTATAAATAATCTTAAGTTTAAGTTCAACTATTTGATTTTTAGCGCCACAATTGATAAATATAATAAAGTATGTAAAGCGTGAGTACTCACTATTTTCCGAGAGGCAAGCGATGGTTTTAAGGATTTCAAGTACGCTATCCTGTACCTCCCAGTTTGCATCATGAATTCGTTTGAATAAAGTAGGCCCGATTTCCCTCGTGTGATCATCAAAATCGACTAGTAATGCCAAATTCGGCGGCATAAAATTTTCAATTGACAGCTTACATGTTTTCAGTGCCAGCGTGCATATCTGCAATTTTTATGTATTCAATATGGAAACAATCAAGATGTACGAAATCGCCTTAAGATCCCGTTAATATAGATACGTCATTAAAATAGAATTCAAATAATAGTTTGAGTACTTCGATAATTAGTATTGGTAATTATTTAGAGGCCCCTTTTCATGAAACCTATGGTGCTCCGATATTCGCTAAAAATTTATCATTCGTTAAAAAAACACGGTGTGAACTTTTTCACATAAATTCAAGAATTTATAGTTAAGCTTAATTCGATTATTACTTAAGGACTATAAAGTATGAAAGTATTATTTGAAATACTCCAATACTAGGTTTAAATTAAATACAAATGATCAAAGATTCCTCCATTAAATTGATCAAAATTAATTAGACGACAGATATCAAAGTAACTGTCAAAAATATCGATAAATACAATTTTGAAATTTGTCGCAGTAGAGTAATAATTTTTACAAATTTTTACTACAAATTACATTGAAATAAAATTGTCCAAAGACGTGAGCCTCAACATCGTCCCCAATATCATTATCAATGGCTTGATTAATTAATATGGGCAAATGAAAGAATTCGATAGACCTTGGAATCCACGCCTGGGTGATTAAGTATATCTTGGGCGATGGAAAGCACGCATATGGTCTCGACGCACTCCTGCCATTTGAGCTTGAACTTCTCGGTGAGCACGTTAAGACCATTAAGAAGAGCAGCCAAGAGCGTGCGCTTATCGTTAATGGGATCGCCGTCGAGGAAGTGCCGGTAGACTTTTTTTTTCAGCTGATGAACATTTGTGGTGCCACTGCTTGGGTTCAGCGAGTCCGTGGATGGATTGCTGTTGCCCTCGGACTTAGCGATGAAATTTTTGAGCGCGTGGCACAGTGTTTGGAATACTATTACCGCTGATTCCTACGTAAAAAACGTACGAAAGTATACATTGTTTGGCCTTAAATATTGACATAAATTCTACATAATTTTATTAAAAAAAAAAAGAAAGAAAAAACAAAATATCTCACGAATCTAAATCTGCTACAATAAAAAATATACTTACCCTATCCATAATATCGACAATTTCTAATAAGTGATCAACGGTTGATTTACAAATGAATTCCATTGGGAAGTCATTTTTACAAATGACGTCTCTTATAGAGTAGGCGAGCCTCTGAACAGGTGTACAAGTCACAGCAAACAGTTTTTCCATAAACTCTTCAAAGAGATAGTGAACTTTCATATATTTGGGTTTCATTGTCACGCATAAAGGTAGAATCTAGCAAAAAAAAAAAAAATGCAACTATTATTACTAAATGCTTAGTTGATAAATTAAGTCATGCAACAGATAAAAATAGTAAGTAAAGATATTTTAATTTTATTAAAATTTAAGTAATTATTAGTAATATGAATTTAGTTTAATTGATATTAACTAAATTAAATTGAGAAATAAAGCTCTTCACCTGAAATTGATTCGTATTTAATAAATTTAAAAAACAAAAATAAACATTTTAACAATATTTTAATGTAGGAGAAATATACATTTTTAAAATTGAGTAAAGAGAAATTATCTTTGATTTATAAAATGTACGTATATAGATATATATATATAATGTATAGTAAGGATATAAAATATATATTCCTTGTACATTGAAATATATATCTAAATTGTTATTGTGTATTCAAATTTTACTAAAAATAAATAATATTTTTATTAGTATTAGTATTCTGTAAATGATTTGAATAAGAAAAAGGAACACATCCCATTATACCAACCATTAATGCTATAGCTTGATTCTCAACCTTGTAAGGTTTGGGTACTTCCATTTTTTTTAATTTATTCAGCCTTTTCCAATAAATGAGTCCCAACTTTTTTGATATTACAAGATCTAATATATACTTTTTGGACAATAGCATAGTAGAATTGTAGCATAATCCCAGACAGAACTGCTCAAAGACTTTCTCCGATATGAGATGTGACTCTTCAAGCGAGGATCTCAGTTTGGTGAATATGAGCAGCTTGGATAACTTATGTACTGTTTTCATAAATGGAGTGCTGATACTCACTTCGAATACAACATTAACGCGACTTTCTAAAGCAGTAAATTCTTCAAACATAGCAGGTATTGGATTTACAAGATCACAAAAGCTTGCATAGTCCAGTATCGCCAATAATAGATCCAGTGTCGTTAATAAAAGATTATTTTGATCAAAGAGGACGTTCTTGTCTAATTAAAAAAGTATTTAGTTACTTATTTTTACTTATTAATATATATGTGAGTATGAATATTGTTTTCATAATTAAATGTTTAACAATTTGATAATTCAAATATGCATAATTTTTGGACTAATATAATCAATGAAAACGAAAATGTAAAAGTAAATTATAGCATCGATGTATCATTAAACATTTTAATACTAAACTAAATATATACTATAAACTACGTCATATTTCTTTCATAATTAATACTAACCAATAATACATAATTGGCTATTGACTTGAGAATCAAGTGTTGCGTTTATTAGGGGCTCGGTAACTGCAAGAATGATTTCTTCACACAATTTCCGATTATGGCTTTCTTGAACAAGAAATACAGAAAGAAATTTTTTACTCTCTCTCGTCACATACATTGTGTGATTTAACTGTGCAAACCTTAATATTTCCTTCCATGTGCCTGAATGATAAATTTTTTTATTAAAATTTATTCCCATTGTGAAATAATATTGTTTATTTTTAACAATGAAGTTTTTAGAAAATTCAATATAATTATAAATTTAAAGTATATACTTATAAATAAAACACAGATGCAATTTTATTAACTAAATATATTTTTAAATAAATGTAATTGCTCTGCATTGTGTTTAAGGGAATAGTTACCTGTTTCAGCAATCCATTGTCGTCCACTACAATGTTCGAGTAAATTAATGAAAAATGTTGTGAAAGCCATCTTCATGGATGCCGATAAATCTTTCTTTTCTAAATCAAAAATTGAACACGTCTTTTTATGAACATTGTTTTGACATAATTTAATGAAGATTGATTCATTCTCTGACATTAGACCTATTAATTTAATTGTAAAAATCGATACATTTTGACATGGTTTCCAATTTTCGTTCCATGTATTCAATGCAATATATATCCAATTTTGTGTAATTTGTGAAATAACTTGATTTTCTGTTGAAAAAAAAAAACAAATAAATCTTTAAGACTACACGTAGTCTTGTGATTTTAAAATTTAAATAGGAATAATATAAAAAATTGAAAAGAAAAATTATAAATTTAGATAGTTGGTTAAACACAATTTAATACAAGTACCTACATTCAAAATATATACATAATTTTACCTTTTTTAATTTCCTCACCAATATGCATAAGTAATAAATCTAAGTAAGTTGTTCTTACGATATTGTAATCTGGGATTAAAAATAATTCAAGAACTTTTTGTAACTTTAATTCCTCGGGAGACGTCATGTTTAAGCATCTACAAATTCTTGTCAAATGTGTCAAGCTAGATTGATGTAATGCTTAAAAAATATTTTTATAAAACCAAACGATATAAATTAAAATTAACATATTGAAATAATTTGTATTTTCACTGAGTATAAAAATGAAATTATAAACTTTGCCACATGCAATAATTCTTAATTAAGTATAATAAATAAATCAAAGATCTGACTATGTAAAGTTTTCTTTATCACAAATTTATAAATAGTATCAAATAATAATTAATTATATTACGTGTTAACTTACTACAAAATATTAAATCCTAGCTGAATGTATTTAACAAAAATATCATTTTCTTCATCGCTTGTAAATATATCCTATTTTTTTCCAACACAGTAAATAATTTTCTCTAAAAATATTTCAAGACAATTGAAAAGTGATTTTACTGGCAATAACTATAATACAACTACATACTTTTCTCTTGATAAAATCCAGGCAAACATAAAAATTAACGAAAAGTAGGAATGTTTTTATGCTGTATTTTTTTAAAACTGTTCATAATCTATTACGTAGATGAAAAGAATCCTACTTTTTTCTCTCGTACACTTGCTTATTTAAATAATTACCACTAATGACACAGAGATGTCAAGTATAAAAGAAACAGCGAACATTTTTCACTAATATAACAACATTATACAAATACGCGGCTGTTTTAATTTCTCTGGAATTTTTCCAATAATTATTCACCAACTACGCGTGTTTCTTTAAGGTTACACAAGTAACACTTTCGGAGGTTATGCAAGCGTGTATTTGGATTACATTGCTGTGCGTGCAATAGTGTTGAACTCATAATGTTAAACGTTTTAAAAACATTGTCTTCGAGTTTGTACTTTACTAACAGTAAATTATCCGAAATTGTTTATAAAGTAATCATCATTTTGGACATTCTATTTTCAAATATTATCGTAAAATCACATTCCGAATGATTATTTTATATTTTATTAAAACGATAGATTTGATTGTTAACTACAATTATTCATTGGATGCGCGCGCGCGCGTTTCAATGTAAATATCGACAATTAATACCCTTACATTTGAAGTATGAATTTAGAATTGTACAGATCCTATAAACCATACGATAGACATAACTTCATATTACAAATTGTATTATAAAAATCAGAGTGTTACAAATATTTTTAGTAAATTATTTATAACTTGATAGAAATAAAAACATTTTATCTATAAAATATTTACATATTTTAAATTTACGTTTCTTTAGCTTACATTAAAATATTTAGTCTGTTTAAGCGATCGAAGATTTTGTCACTTGAATATGTAAATGCTTATACAAAGCAAGGATCTGTTAAGCTTTGGTTCGTAATAAATTTGAATGAAACTTGAATAGGAGAATTTATTTCGAAATCAGCCGTTGTCAACTTTTTGCCTCGCATTGTTCTTATTGCATTCATTTGTAAGGTTCAACATATAATTAATATACTAATTAAATATATATTATAATTATAAGAAATTCACTAAATGATTTTTAAAAGAAATAGTGAATAACGTTGTGTTTATTAAATTTTTTAATTTTAATTAAAGATTAACATGTAATAATGAAAAATAGATTTCAACATTTTACAGCAGTTTCCATATATATATATATATATATATATATATATATATATATATATATGTGTGTGTATTTGACTTCGTATTATAAAAAGTAAAATTAATGCAAAAAAGAAAACAAATAAAGACGCATAACAATGATTCTGAAATAATTTTCGACAAATTTATATGTAAGCAGTAAATAGATTTTATATTTTTTTTAGTACTTTAATCGACGATTATTGTCCAAATTGTCATTTGATTTTTCTTTCTTTTTTTTGTTATTAATATTTGTCGAAATTAATAATATTATATTTTTACTAAAATTAATAAAATACTATTTACTTGTTTAGCGTAATAGAAGAATTTGGCGCTTTATTTGTTTTCAATTAAAATAGTCTGAAAATTTACTCATTTAATTTATAATTTGAAATTCTACTGTGGTCTGTAAACTTGGTAACGTAGCGTGATGATGAAAATAAATCAAGTTAAGAAATTTGCAAACCGAAACACCAATTCATAAAATATTTATTAAAAGAATGAAGAGTTTTTGTTCAATAATTAATTTTTAAATTTTCTCATTGCAATCATTGTTAAAGAAAATAAAAAATAGTATAATTTTTCTAGTATATATTTCCAAATAGTATAATTATAGTCATATTTGTATAACATAGTGACATTATCCATAAAAGATGGCATGTCTATTATTGATATAATACATGCAAAAATATATTCAAAACTTAATAATTTTGAATTCGGAATTTGATTGAAATAGTAAGTGACTTCAACAATTATATTTGTTATCTAAAGTGCTCGATAAAACACTAATTAAACTTTTTCATACGTAAAAAAATTACTTTTCAATGAGTTTGAACAACTGTTGGGTCATGACGTATTTTCATCATTTAATAACGATATTACACAATTTTTAAAATCAATTAAGCCAAAATAATGACTTTAAAATAAATCCAAACTTTCATCAATAGAACACGTTCGACTACGACTAAGCTCTTGAAAAAAGGAAGTATTTTAATTAATTACGATGAGAATTAGCCAATTTCCATTCCATGCGAATAAAGTGAACAATTGTGGTGCTGCTGTGCTTCTTGAAAGCATAATTATACCAGTGCTCGTTAAGACGCTCTTAGCATCGAAAATATCGAAGCACAATAATCTCCATAGATAAAAATATCCAGAAACAATGGCAGTCTAATAATACTTATAATTAGTGGTGAAAGGTAGCGCGTTCGAATGCCCAAGGGTATCCATATGTCTCTACATTGTTGCAACAGTAAGAATGCATTGTACTTTGGTGAAAGTCATCATCAAGGTGAGAACGATGCACTTGAGGGAGGCACTATGTGATATCATCGGAAGCACCTGAATAGTCTTTCTTGGCTCTTTCTCTTACAGGGAGATTCGCCAGTTCTTTAGGGGCTCGGGCTTTTCTTCGTGGCGCTTCGTTGACGAATAAGTATATATCTAACATTGTAAAACAAGGACATAATCAAATCCGCTGATAATTCTATTATCTATGGGCGGATCTCTGATTCGCTCAATCAGCGCAAATGCAACACTAGGAATATTATCACGATAGAGTGCACTGCATGATTAGATAAATAAGATGCTCGGTTTTAGGAATCGCAAAGGTTTGCGGTGTTTAGGAACTTTTGATACTTACTAAAGGCAATTTTAATTATTAAAATATGATATTATGATGTACTAATTCCATGAATCGTACACTCGGCTGGACGTTTTCCTGTGTTAAAAAAAGTTGAGATACATCGAGTTACGAAATCGTTAAATCATTTGTTTTTTGTCGAACCGATTATTTACTCAAAATTTGCCTACATTTAATTATAAAAACATTAGTGGCAAGTAAAAAAAATTTTAGTTAGCAATTGACGAATATCAAACATATGAATTATAAAGAATAGCTTTTGCAAGGAGTGAAAAAATCGATCTTTCAATTTTCCTATAATATAGTTAATGTTTACTATTGTTTCTTAAATTAGTCTTACTCAATCTTGCATGATTAAAGAGTTTGAGTGAATATAAACAACAAGAAATTTCATGTTTAATAGATAGCAAATTAAAGTTAAAACATTAACTCGTAAGCAAACAATCTTTACGCGTTTAAAATATAATATGTAAACGTGGTTAAACTTTTCCAACCAAATATTGAACAACAAATATTCTCTGTGTCAATAAACCTTATTGTTTCCAGCTACTCGGCTCATTTAAAAAGCACTTAACATACAAACATCCATATCGGCGAATATCAAAAGTTAAACGAAAGGTCGTTGGCACTACCGAATACCGATGCTTGACCATCTCTTAATGAACCAACGACATTTAAGTCCCCCAATCCACTTTCGCCGGAAGTTTACTGGTAAAGGGCGATCAGTGGCTTTGGACATACGAGGATGTGAAAACTTGAGCCGAACTCTTGACGGTCTTAGACCAAGTCCGGGAGTGTCTCTTGTTTCCATCAACGAAAACTTCGAATACCAGTAGTGGTACTTGCATTAGCTAGGGTCGGTCTCTGTTCTATGGATAAGAAGAATTGATTATTTTTTTATTTGACTAGGTGCATAAGTCAATATACAGGGTGGATATAATTTACGATGTCTTTTATTAGTGTCCGAAGAGTTAAACTGCTGCAGATAACCGAAATTTTTGCAGTTTATCAATTACCGATTTTTAAATCTCATGTAGAGATCGAGAAGAATTATTGGTAGTACTTTAAACATAGTTTAGCATCGATAAAGTAATATGAGAAGTAATATTCATATAGTGATTGAATTTTAATTAACGATGGATTATTGTTAAATTTGAATAAAAGATTCTGCAACATTGTATTTATTAATTTGTTGTTAATTGGTTATGTAAAAAATTAGAAGTGGTTATATCGATAAGGTAAAAATGAAACTAAATTTATAATAAAAATGTATCGGCTAATTTAAATTACTGTTATATTATGTAATATCGTTTAAATACACAATTATCCAGAATATTTTATAAATTATTCTCTTTAGTTCTCTCTCTATGTTTTTCTTTCCTTTTTTAGTTTTTTGATGTTTGTGTTTAGTAGAAAATCATTAGAGGCGAATTGTAAAATATGTAGAAATAATTCGTTGGAAGTTAAAATACGAATAAACTCAATGATTTTAACTCGTTGAAGTAAAGAAAAGTAAAATACACTTTGAGTGTCAGGTCTTATTAATGAGACGTTTTGTCGTCGAAGGTACAAGTACTCAACACCGACTAACCATTTTTCCTTCATTTACAGAAAATATTTTAACTCTAACGCGTACACCACACTAGGCTGAGAGAACAGAAATTACAATTTTTCTCTTGTATTTTTCCGCGCCGGTGACTTCCTGTGATCTGTCCTTTCTTGGAAACGTCGTAAAAGTCATTTTTAAGGAAGTTAGTCTATCCGTGCTGGATTATCGAACCGCGAAAGCAAACTTTTTACGAAACATCCTTTTGCCTTTCGATCTTCGGCGTTATTTTCTTCACACCTTACTGAAAATGCAGTATTATAAAATGCCTTTATATTTTATAATATATGATGTAATTAGCAAATATTTATAATTAAATTACGAGTGCAGTTGGTCCCTACTTAGCCCGAGTACTATTCAATAAATTCGATTTAAACGTTCGTATTTATTAAGTAAGTCTTACCATAGTTTATTTATTTAGATTTTGTCTGTAATTATGTAAACATTAATTGCAATAATTAATTTTTCGTGTAAAGTATTTTTTTTTTAATTTAGCCCTTTGTTCGATTATCATTAGATATATCAGAACTATGAGTGTAATAGTAATTTTATATTATAAAACAGTTTTATTATGAATCGCGTACCGGGCAGGAATTTATTTTAACTACTGTATTGTTTATTTAATATGAATAACG